AAAAAAAGGTGTATCATCCCCATGGTAGGGCCACGGCTGAGATGTCTCGGCCACACCCCAGATTGGCCACGGCCGAAATGTCTCGGCCACACCCCATGGTCGGGCCACGGCCGAGACGTCTCGGCCACACCCCAGATTGGCCACGGCCAAGATGTCTCGGCCACACCCCAGATTGGCCACGACAAAATATTTTTCACCGGCCCGGTACTTGGGAACAGACCGGTACCATGCCTGCGACACAGCCATCCATTTAAAACTGCCACAACCGCTCATATCAGATTTCGGCCTCGACGTTATTGCACTCCCATGTTTCGCTTGCCTTTTCGAAGTCGGCCCCCGACAAATATGCCCACAGATGTTTTTTTTGCCCTTTCGAAACTATTTTGTGCCACAAACGCACTTGCAAACTGAGCGAAAAACCGATTGGCGGCAATTTTGAGCCATAGCTCCCAGTGGACCAGGGTAGGCACTAACATGCAGGTGCTGGCGAGTTTTTTTTTTTTTTTTTGCTTGCCCTACATAGTTCGACTTCTGTTTGCAAAAATACGTATCTGACATGTTTAATCGGCCCCCATCCCTTCGCTCAGTCACAACATTTAGAGGGGCAGTTAAAAAAAAAAAAAAAAAAAGAATTGATTCAAAATGTAGGAGAGAAGAGGCAGGAGAAGGAAGAGGGAAGTAATAGGAGTGTCTAGCCCTAAAGGTTCTCTCCCCTTCCCCCCCCCCCCCTCCTCCTCTTTTTTAAGAAGTTGTTAACTGTGTACTTAGCAGATTGGAATGCAGCTCAGAGGATGAGAGAAGAGGGAAAACAAAGAGGGAGAAGCAGACAGCAACCAATCGCAGCTGACCATCCAAGAGAGGAAGCAGAAATCAACCAATATCAGTTGACTCCGATGCCGTTTGACGACTACCAGTTGACCATCCCAGCCCAGGGAGGGTCATCAGCTGGTGATCGTGCGTGTGAGACTGCAGTCAATTACAAGCACTAGCACTAGCAGCTAGCAGTTGACCGACTAGCCCAAGGAGGAAAACGAAGTTGATCGAGACCAGTTCATTCATACCAGTTGCTTGATACCATACCAGTTGAGCAGCCCAGGGAGGAAGGAGAAGGAGAAGCTGACCAATACCAGTTGACTGCCACAAAAAACACAATCTGACCAGTACCGGTTGACCAGCTCAGGGAGGAAGAAGAAGCTGACCACCACGAGTCACATGGAAGGAACGAGAAGTTGACCAACCGATGCCAGTTGATTGGTAGCAGTTGACCGATACCAGGGAGGAAAGAGAAGTTGACCGACCGATACCAGTTGATTGGTAGCAGCTGACCGATGGCACATGACCAATACCAGTTGACCATTCCAGGGAGGAAGGACAAGTTAACTGATACCTATTGACCAATTGCATGAGACCCATACATTTTGACGAATAACAGTTGGCCATCCAAGGAGAAGTTGACCGATACCGATTGACCAGCCAAGGAGAAGTTGACCGATACCGGTTGACCAATACCAGGAGATGGGTCCAAATTGATCGATACCAGTTGACCGATACCAGTTGACCAATACCAGGAGATGGTCAATTTGGAGACATCTCCTGGTATTGGTCAACCGGTATCGGTCAACTTCTCTGTTGCATACTGTAACGTGCAAAACCTGTCTCTTATACACATCTAGATGTGTATAAGAGACAGCCTCAAGTCTTCGGCACAAGCCCAAATAGTCCCTCGTCGGAATGTCTGAATCCCAAAAGTCTGGATCCAATGTCGTCAAGTCTCAAGTCACAACTCTGTCTCTCTCTGTCGTAGTCTGAGAAGTCAGGTGGCGAGAGGGTGAGAGGAGAAGGTGGACTTAGAAGAGGAAGAAGAAGAACTCTCTCTCTCTCTGTGTCCAGTACGAACCTGTGAAGTTGGCTCTTATACACATCTAGATGTGTATAAGAGACAGGTCTGAATCCCAAATGTCAAGTCTGGATCCAATGTCGTCAAGTCTCAAGTCACAACTCTGTCTCTCTCTGTCGTAGTCTGAGAAGTCAGGTGGCGAGAGGGTGAGAGGAGAAGGTGGACTTAGAAGAGGAAGAAGAAGAACTCTCTCTCTCTCTGTGTCCAGTACGAACCTGTGAAGTTGGCATAAGAGACAGGAGAAGGTGGACTTAGAAGAGGAAGAAGAAGAACTCTCTCTCTCTCTGTGTCCAGT